AATGTTAAATTAAACGTCGACTTGTAAAGACGCTGAGAAAGACTCAACACAAATGTCCCCCAAAAAATCAGGAGCTGCGAGCGACGGGAAAACGGGAATCGAGCCGCAGAAAGAAAATCTGGAACGAGCGAGAAACTTGAGGGAAGAAAACGAAGAAAACACAAAAAGCTCGTCGGGCTAAAAACTCGATTTAGCTCGAGGTGTCGGAGTCGCTCAGAAGTGACACCGAAGATGAAGAACTGAACGGATTTAGTGAAGAATCTTTCTGAAGAACTGTTCATACGTGACGTTCTCTGTTCTGTTCTTCTTACTAGAACTTGACTTTACGCGGGAAATGTCTGAAGTCGCCTCCATCAAACTCAAACCTGCACAAAAACTACGACAGTTTCAAAAAGTTCGGTTTGTGCCACTTCAGTTTTGTAGATTTTAACGATTCTTTTACAGATCAAACTGGGATCAGCAGCTCCAGGAAACTTCAAAATGAAATAAAACGACACAAAACTGAGTCAATCGTTTGTGTTTTGTTTGTGTTTCGTTCGTGGTTTTTGTGATTCTGGTTCTTAAGATGTGAACGTTAGACGTAAGACGTTTTATTTTGGGCCGACGACTCAAAATGTGAAACAGCCTCAAAACAGCAGAAAAATGAAACCAAACGTTTGGGTTTATTTTGGTGTAAATTATATTTCGGTCGTTTCGGTTCAGCCGACGACAGAGACTTTAACAAAAGTCCACAAAACGAGTGAAGAGAAACGACTTGAGGCTGTGGAAAAGTCTGTGTCAGTCTGAAGGAACTGGATTTGATTCATATTTTATAAAATGAAACAGACTTTTCCACAGCTTCAGATCATTTCACAAACAAAACACAAACGACTGACTCCGTTTTGTGTCGTTTTAGAACATTTTGAGGTTTTCTGTAAAAAAAATCATTAATCGATTCTTGTCAAAACTAAAGCAGCACAAACGACAGAAACAGTTTTTGTGCGTTTGTGAGTTTGATGGCGGCGACTTCATGCGGATCTGTTCTTGGTCTCTGATTTTTTTTTTTTATAAATTGAAAATGTTAAATTAAATATCGACTTATAAAGAGACTGAGAAAGACTGAACACAAATGCCCCCAAAAAGAAAAACTGAAATCATTTTGGTGTAGTTTGATGAGGGTCTGTCCTTAGTCTCTGATTTTTTTAAATAAATTTCCTTCTAAAAATGGGCCTGATAAATGTTTTCTTCTTCTTCATTCAGTGTTTTTGTGCTGGTGCGACTTGTCCGTAAAACCCGGTACGTAAATGTGTGGGTCAGACTCTGGTCAGACCCAGAGGAAGTAGGCGATCTCGTCCAGGTCCACGGGATAGTCCGTCAGGTGCAGCGGCTCCTTGATGTCGAAGCGTTCTCCTTTGTAGCTCCTCCAGCGTCCGGCCGGCAGGTAAATGTCCCGCTCCTGTTTCCCCGGCTCCAGCACCGGCGCCACCATCAGGTCGTCCCCGATCAGGAACTGCGAGTCGATCTTGTACGCCGTCTCGTCCCCCGTGGCGATCCACCACAGCGGCCTGATGATGGGGTCGCCCGTGTCCACCACCTCGCTCGCCAGCTCCAGCACGCGCGGCGCCACGATGCTCTGGTGCAGCTCCGTGTACTTACGCGCGATCTCGACCACGTCGGCGCCGTACTCCCACGGCGGGATCGAAAACTGCATGGCCGGCATGAAGGCGGACAGCTCCAGCCAGCGGATGTAGAGCTCGCGGTCCGGTAACGCGCGTCCTCCGTCGGTGCGGTTCACGTACGCGTTTCCGCCGATCATGTCCGGTAAGATGAACTGATAGCCGAGGATACTAATCGTGAGAACCGTTGGGATGAGCGATTTCAGGCCGAGTTCGTAGCCCCAAACGGAATCGCGATCTATCGGACGAAAGAAGCAGGAGATGTTCTGCGACTGGTAGCCGCTCCTCAGCTCGGCGCGGTCGTTGAACGGAATCACCATCTCCGTGTAGCGCCGGGTGAAAACACTCGGATCGCGGATCGGAACTTTGGTGCTGAACTTCCACGGCAAATAGCTCGTTTCGCCGGCGTCGAATTTGAACGAAACGACGCCGTACCGCGAGCGCAGAGACTTGAGCTGCTGAGAAAACCACTCCCTCGCCTCGTGATTGGTGAAGTCCAGAATCCCGCCGATCCCGTTCCACCACTTCACCAGAGCGGGAAGCTGCCCCGTCGGCTCGCGGACGAAGAGCCCGCGCTGGACGCAGGAGTGGAAGTTGGCGGAGTCGTAGTTGACGAAGGGGTGCGTCCAGAGCGAGACCTGGAACCCGTCCGCCTTCAGCTTCTGGAACATGGCGCTGGCGTTCGGGAACTTCTCCGGGTCGAACTCGAACTCGCCGTAGCGTTTGGTGTAGCGGTCGTCCAGCTCCAGGTGGCTGCAGTTGAAGTTGTGTTTCTTGATGTCGGCGGCGTAGGCGAGCAGCTTCTCCTGGTCGATGTCGGTCTTGTGCAGGGCCCACGTGGACCAGATGGGGTCCTGGAACATGGCTTTGGCGGGGACTTTGCCGGGTTTGTTGAAGTACCGTCGGACCATGTACTTGTGGATGGAGGTGACGTCGAGGCCCACGCACACGCGGTAGCTCAGCTCGGCGATGGGCGGCTCGTTGGGCGCCGGCTGAAACGGGCTGTCGCTGTAACGAGCCTGAAACAGCATCGTCTTCTCCGTGTCGTTCCAGCCCAAATGAAACGGGACGGAACCGTTGATTTTAATCGCCGTAGCGTTGGAAGAAAGCCAATAACTCTCCAGGATCCCTGAGGAAACAGACTGTCAGGACCAGACCAGGACCAGACCTGGACCAGACCAGGACCAGACCAGGACCAGACCAGGGACTAGACCAGGACCAGGACCAGACCAGGTCTAGACCAGACCAGGACCAGACAGACCAGGACCAGACCAGGACCAGACCACTGGACTAGACCAGGACAGACCAGGACCAAGACCAGGACCAGACCTGGACCAGGACCAGACCAGGACTAGACCAGGGACCAGACCAGGACCAGACCAGGACCAGACCAGGACAGACCTGGACCAGACCAGGACCAGACCTGGACAGACCAGGTCTAGACCAGGACCTAGACCAGGACTAGACCAGACCAGACCAGGACCAGACCAGGACCAGACCTGGACTAGACCAGGACTAGACCAGGACCAGACCAGGACTAGACCAGGACCAGACCAGGACCAGACCAGGACCAGACCAGGACTAGACCAGGACTAGACCAGGACCAGACCAGGACCAGGACCTAGACCAGGACCAGACCAGGACCAGACCAGGACCAGACCTGACTAGACCAGGCTAGACCAGTCTAGACCAGGACTAGACCAGGACTAGACCAGGTCTAGAGGTCTAGACCAGGACTAGACCAGGACTAGACCAGGACTAGACCAGGTCTAGACCAGGTCTAGACCAGGTCTAGACCAGGACTAGACCAGGACTAGACCAGGACTAAACCAGAACTAAACCAGGACTGCGTCACCACGGTAACCGCCGAACATTCCCCCATAGACGCGCAGGCGGCACACCCCCGGCGCGGCGTCGGCGTCGTACCTCCGAAGTTGTGGCGGTGGGAGTAGATGTCGCTGGTGACGAAGGGCTTGGGCGGCTGCTGCCCGGACACGGCGATGGGCCAGTGCTGCGTGGCGGACAGGGCGCCGCCGTACCAGTGGGCGTGGCGGTACGTCATGGCGTGTTCCACCGGCACGTGCGGCGCCGTCTCCTCCCAGCGCACGCGGTAACACTGCACCGTGTCCTTCGGCCGCACCGTCTCGATGAAGAAGAAGAGGCGACGGTTATCGGTCGTACGACTGCAGCTCAAGATCTCACCCTCCTTAGAACACGAGTCCAAGTCCAGAGTCCCAGACCTGAGGAGAGACCAGGACTGAACCAGGACTGAACCAGGACTGAAACTATTCTAAAACCCTGTTAAAATCCTGTTAAAATCCAATGAAAACCCCATTAAAAATCCAGTTAAAACCCTGTTAAAATCCAGTTAAAACCCCATTAAAACCCTGTTGCAACTCAGTTAAAATCCAGCTAACCCCCTTAAACCCTGCTGAAACCCGGTTAAACCCAGTTAAACCTCGTTGAAACCCCGTTGAAAAACCCGGTTAAACCCGGTTGAAACCCGGTTAAACCCGGTTAAACCCACCCCGTTGAAACCCGGTTAAAAACCCGGTTAAACCCGGTTAAACCCGGTCAAACCCGTCGGCGTCTGACCTGAACTGCATCCTGAAGACGATGGCGCCCCCTTGGTTTCGGATGATGTAACCGTCCTTGTTGAGGTCGAGCAGCTGCGTCTTCAGAAGCTCCGCCTTCCTCAGAGACGCGATGTAATAACACCAGGCCGTTACCGCGGCGATCACCAGGAACAACCCGATGACGCCGGCGCCGACCAGCGGGCGAGAGGCGCGGGCGTGCTGCTGCTTCGGGAGGGCATCCAGGTCAGTGCCCCCCGCCCCCCCCGGGACCACCTGGTACATGCTCGGGACCGAGACCGGGACCGAGACCGGGACCGAGACCGGGACTAAACCAGGGACTGAACCAGGACTAAGCCAGGGACTAAACCAGGGACCGGACCAGGACTAAACCAGGCTAATCAAACTCTGAATAGACCTGGTTTAGTCCTGGTTTAGACCTGGTTTAGACCTGGTTTAGACCTGGTTTAGTTTAGACCTGGTTTAGTCCTGGTTTAGTCCTGGTTTAGACCTGGTTTAGACCTGGTTTACCTGGTTTACTGGTTCCTGGTTTAGTCCTGGTTTAGTCCTGGTTTAGACCTGGTTTAGACCTGGTTTAGTCCTGGTTTAGACTTGGTTTAGACCTGGTTTAGACCTGGTTTAGTCCTGGTGTAGTTTACCTGGTTTAGTCCTGGTTTAGTCCTGGTTTAGTCCTGGTTTAGTTCTGGTTTGGATCAGACACTGGGACATTTCTTTTATAAATTTGGGACAAATCAGTGTTTTTTGTTTAAATCCATGAGACTCAGGTCAGGGACTGTCCCGGGTCATTGAGACGGTCCCGGGTCATCAGGACGTCAGGTCACGCTCTGGTCAAACTCCGAGTTTCTTGCGTCAGTTTTGGCGCGTTCAGCGGATCTTCATCTGCGCCTTCGTTTCCCGCAGCGGGTTTTTATTTTTTGCGCTGACGCTGAGGGAAAAACACGCGCTCCGGGCCCAGTGCGCATGCGTGAGGAGCAACGCACGCGGGTGTTTACTGCTCGAACTTTCGCAAACAACAAAAACAACGATTTTCACGCAAAGAAGCGCAGAGAGAAAAGTGCAAAAGCGCCGCGTCCCGCTCCGTGCGCGCTCCGTGTGCACCCGCGTGTCCGTGTGCGTGTGCGTGTGCGTGTGCGTGTCCGTGTCCGTGTCCGTACTCACCGCGCTTCCCGTGGAGAAGCCCCCGCACGCCTCACGTCCACGCGCGGCCCCGTGCGCGTGTCCTCGGTGCGGGTTTTGTTGTTCTGTTGTTCGCGGGACGAAGCGGAGCGGCGCGTCTCAGCTCCGATCCTGATCCGATCCGAACGCGACTTGTTTTGAGGAGTTTGGAGAAAAGAGAAAAGAGCAAAGAGCAAAGAGCAAAGCATCACGGGAAATGTAGTCCAGAAAGAGAGGGGAGGGGGAAATGTAGTCCAGAAAGAGAGGGGAGGGGAGGGGGCGTCAACAAACACCACAGAGAGAGAGACTAAACCAGAACTAAACCAGGACTAAACCAGGTCTAAACCAAACTAAACCAGGACTAAACCAGGTCTAAACCAGGACTAAACCAGAACTAAACCAGGTCTAAACCAGGACTAAACCAGGACTAAACCAGGAACTAAACCAGGTCTAAACCTAAACCAGAACTAAACAGGTCTAAACCAGGTCTAAACCAGGTAAACCAAAACTAAACCAGGTCTAAACCAGGACTAAACCAGGACTAAACCAGGACTAAACCAGGTCTAAACCAGGACTAAACCAGGACTAAACCAGGTCTAAAACCAGGACTAAACCAGAACTAAACCAGGTCTAAACCAGGACTAAACCAGGACTAAACCAGAACTAAACCAGGTCTAAACCAGGACTAAACCAGGACTAAACCAGGTCTAAACCAGGACTAAACCAGGACTAAACCAGAACTAAACCAGGTCTAAACCAGGACTAAACCAGGTCTAAACCAGGTCTAAACCAGGACTAAACCAGGTCTAAACCAGGACTAAACCAGGACTAAACCAGGTCTAAACCAGGACTAAACCAGGTCTAAACCAGGACTAAACCAGGTCTAAACCAGGTCTAAACCAGGACTAAACCAGGTCTAAACCAGGACTAAACCAGGTCTAAACCAGGACTAAGCCAGAACTAAACCAGGACTAAACAAGACTAAACCAGGACTAAACCAGAGACAAAGAACATTTAGGTTTTTTTTGTTTGTTTTTTGTTGTTTTTTTATTACAGTGAAGATAAAATTCTAGTAGTAACAACAAAATCCAAAGTCTTGATAAAATATATTTTATTGCTGATGATCAGAAAGAGACAAAATTAAACAAACAAATGAACCTGAGGAAAAAAAAAAAACAGAACTGGACTTTTTTTTTTCCAAACACCAAAAGTTCTGTTTGTTTTGTTTTTTTCTCAACAAAGTTTTGAACAAAAAGTTTCAGACTCTTCACCACAGACGTGGACTCGAGTCGGACTCGAGTCAGACTTTTTAGGACTTGAGGCGTGACTTGATAAAATGGACCGAGATTTTGGACTCGACTCGGACTTGAAGCTCAGTGACTCGGGACTCAGTGCTTCTCCTAAAAAAATCAGTGTTTTTATCAAATATTTTTCTCTTTACAGTTGAAAAATGTGACGTTGAATTTTACAGAAACAAACTGGAACATGTCCTGAAGTACTGCGATACTCAAAAGTACTACAGTAATACACAGTACAAATACAGCGGGTACTACACAGAACACCATCCTTCCATTTGAGAGCAGACGACAAAATAAAATAACTGCATTTTAAATCTGAATTCTTTCCTTTTAAAAAGAAAAAAAAAAACATTTGTAAAACTCTTATTTAAAAACTCAAAGAACAATTTAGTTTAAAATTCATATAAATTGCAAAAATTTAAGATAATTTGGGTGCTTTTTTGGTTTAAAGACTTGAAGCTCAAAGCAGACGACTCGGACTGGACTTGGACTCATGGGCCAGTGACTCGGGACTCGACTCGGACTTGACTTGGACTCATGGGCCAGTGACTCGGGACTCGACTTGGACTTGACTTGGACTCATGGGCCAGTGACTCGGGACTCGACTCGGACTTGACTGTGTTTGACTTGGGACTCGACTCGGACTTGACTGTATTTGACTTGGGACTCGACTCGGACTTGACTATATCTGACTCGGGACTCGACTCGGACTTGACTGTATTTGACTTGGGACTCGACTCGGACTTGACTATATCTGACTTGGGACTCGACTCGGACTTGACTGTATTTGACTTGGGACTCGACTCGGACTTGACTATATCTGACTCGGGACTCGACTCGGACTTGACTGTATTTGACTTGGGACTCGACTCGGACTTGACTATATCTGACTCGGGACTCGACTCGGACTTGACTGTATCTGACTTGGGACTCGACTCGGACTTGACTATATCTGACTTGGGACTTGACTCGGACTTGACTTGGACTCATGGGCCAGTGACTTGGGATTCGACTCGGACTTGACTGTATTTGAGTCAGGACTCGACTCGGAGTAGTGTCTTGCTCATGGGCTCCTCTGGGTTGTGGGTTCGAGTCCCGGTCAGTAGAAGTGTTCGGACACAAACTCGGGGTGGATGGTGTAGTGTGTTGCTTTAGGGTTGTGGGTTCGAGTCCCGCGTCAGTAGAAGTGTTCGGACACAAACTCGGGGTGGATGGTGTAGTGTGTTGCTTTAGGGTTGTGGGTTCGAGTCCCGCGTCAGTAGAAGTGTTCGGACACAAACTCGGGGTGGATGGTGTAGTGTGTTGCTTTAGGGTTGTGGGTTCGAGTCCCGCGTCAGTAGAAGTGTTCGGACACAAACTCGGGGTGGATGGTGTAGTGTGTTGCTTTAGGGTTGTGGGTTCGAGTCCCGCGTCAGTAGAAGTGTTCGGACACAAACTCGGGGTGGATGGTGTAGTGTGTTGCTTTAGGGTTGTGGGTTCGAGTCCCGCGTCAGTAGAAGTGTTCGGACACAAACTCGGGGTGGATGGTGTAGTGTGTTGCTTTAGGGTTGTGGGTTCGAGTCCCGCGTCAGTAGAAGTGTTCGGACACAAACTCGGGGTGGATGGTGTAGTGTGTTGCTTTAGGGTTGTGGGTTCGAGTCCCGCGTCAGTAGAAGTGTTCGGACACAAACTCGGGGTGGATGGTGTAGTGTGTTGCTTTAGGGTTGTGGGTTCGAGTCCCGGTCAGTAGAAGTGTTCGGACACAAACTCGGGGTGGATGGTGTAGTGTCCGCTCTGGAACGACTTCACTCGATGGAAACAGCTGCAGCAGCCTCTGGACGCACAAACACACAAACACACAAATGTACAAACAATTACACAAACACACAAATGTACAAATACACAATTACACAAACACACAAATACATAAACGCACAAATATACAAATGCAAAAATGTACAAATGCACAAATATACAAATACACAAACACACACACACACACAGAAACACACAAACACAGAGAAATAGACAAACACACAAACAGAGAAACAGAGATGACCGATAAACTGTGCCGATATTTTAGTTCTGATAGTTTTAGATTCATGTTGATCATTTTTCCCAAATTTGTCGTTTACATTTTCTTCAAACTCCCCAAAGTGTTTTTAACCACGTTCTGTGCAGCTCTTTGTATTAAAGAGTTAAAATCAAACTGTGCAGATCCATCAAAACTAAATATCGAGCTCTGCTGGAGGTTTAAGGCCGATATTCCATAGGCCAACAACTGCAAATATCGGTAATGTATCGGTCTGCTGACTGATGGTTTAACTGAACCTTCTGATCTCAAAGGTAAAGTTTGTCCATCATAAATATAACTCTTTATAATAATTACACTTTATTTAGCCTTAATAAACAAAGACTTAATTAATAATGAACAAATACTGAATTAAGAGTCATTCAGGCTTAATAATAACTTAATACAAATACACACACAGTTAGTTCATGAGTAACTAAGTATGAAATAATTATCAGTCACTATTACAGCGCAGGTTTATTAAGCATAAGTTAAAGGCTAATTAAGGTAGTAATTAAGTCGTTATTAAGCCTGAATGACTCTTAATTAAGTGTTTGTTTATGTTTATTAAGGCTAAATAAAGTGCAGTAGTTAATATAAAGTGTTATATAAATATAATCGTGTACAGATGTGACCCTCACCCGTAATCCAGAGACGAGGAGGACAGCGCCCTCTGTCGGCCAACAGTGTGAGGACGAACACACACAACCGACAAACTCCTGAAAAACAAACGCACAACATGAACACACACACACACACACACACAACCGACAAACTCCTGAAAAACAAACGCACAACATGAACACACACACACACACACACACACACAACCGACAAACTCCTGAAAAACAAACGCACAACATGAAC